GTTAAAGATAAAAATAAAATCCTTCACATTTCCTGTCACAGTAATGACCAAAAAGGGTATGCCGTTGGCTAATCAAAATACTCAGATTTACTGTGCTTCCTATCAGTTAACTTGGAAATCTTTCAAATGCCAACTGATTTTCTCTCCTCATACAGCATCTAATGAGCCACTTGAGCCCTTTGCCACTGCCCCACATGAAGAGTTGTCCCCTGTAAGAAATGCATTTAATTAATTTTTTTAGTTTTTCAGAAAAATGACTTTTGAGTAAAACCCCACGTTTTCATGTTAAAAACAAGGTTTAATGCCAAAAATTCCAAATAGTTAACTGCTTGATTTAAAGTATATTTTAAACTCAAAAACAAAAAAATTTAATACTGTCGCCTTGTTATAGCTTTACAACGTAAACAACAGCTTGAGATTGCAAAGTAGTATAATGAACCCCAAATTTGTACAAAGTTAAAAATAACAATTTTCCAAATACTTGAGAAATAGTTTCTCACCTTCACTTTACTGCATCTGAAAATCCCATTTTGATTCTTGACAATTCACAAGTCACCTAAAATGGCACTCTGTTAACTGTGATTTGTTTAGGTCCTTGTTAGGAAAATCTTGGATGCAAAATTCAGTACTGGACAGATAAGTGTTGTAGGCCCTGATTCAACTAAGGTTCTTAGGCACATCCTTTAAGTTCCTTGCTAAATCAGGGCCTTAAAGAACATCTCTCGCTCTCTCTCTCTCATTTTAAATCTGAAAGTTACAGTCAACTTGGATTCATGGCCCCTAGATGTTTTCACGTCAGACTGGGGGAACAGTGTTCTCTGTGGAGGGAGGCTTGCTGAACAATGAAACAGACTTGGAGTAACAGACTCTCAAGTTTGTCCTTCAGAGCATGCTGCAAGATCTATCTATTCACTCAGATTTTTTTCTGAAGGGAGAGGTTGAGCTGGAGATGAGGAAGTGTGGATGGGTATTGACACTGGGTGAATTAAAATTGTTTCACGTAAAGTTTTCTTTTAAAAATTTGAACTGTTCCTGTGCCTAAAGTTTGAGGATAGGTGTAACATGAGACTCAAGGGGATGAGTACATAAAGGTGGTGTTTTTCAAATTACTTGTCCTTAATTCTGCATAGATACTCAGTTAATATTTTTCTTCTTTTAGCAAAATCTTTTCTAATCCCCTTTAACGAAGTGACATTGAGGAGCAGTGATAGAGTTATCTTTTCCAATGGGAATTAGTATTTGAAACCTAAGCTTGGTGCATGTGCCACTGCTATTGTTAGCCAGTGTTATCTCACAGAGCGGGGAGCCAAGTACATCTGAATTCTATTCCTGGCTCTGACAATGAATTGCCTTGTGGTCTTGAGCAAGTCACTTAACTTCCCTGTGTCTGTTTCCTCAGTAGCCAAATGGGAATAATAATACTTACCTATCTGACAGGGCCAGGTGGTGTGAAGATTAATGTTTGTACTGTGCTTTGAAACTGGCAAGAGCTGTGTATTGTTACTCTTTTAGCTTCATTTCATTGATTAAGAAATTAGGAGTGTTCTGGAGGGAGTCTTATTCCATTCATGTTAAGCAGGGGATACCACTTTGGTATAACCTAATATAACAGAGGAGCAAGTTCTGGAGTGACATTCATGCACTTTAGACAAAGCAGTTCTAGCTATGATTGGACAGTTCAAGGAAGGGAAATTACAACCACCAAGGGATGAGATTAATAATTACTACACACCTCACCAAACACTGGCTTGGACTGCTGTTCCTGAAAGGATACCTTTAACTGAGAAAAGAACCATCAGTTGGAAACAAATTACAGGAGAATTAAGATAACATTTTGGGGGAAAGTAAAACTCTGAAGTACATCATGGTAGTATGGGTGTGGAGGGAGCTTCCTCTTCTTCTTATGTAAATTTTTTTTTTTTTGGTAATGAGATGCAGTGAGTTTCCTGAAGCTTACCAAGCAATTCAATAGCTTTTTGTCTGAGGAAAATAATTATTGGAAGATTACTTTCTACCAGGGTCTTACAGATGGAGAATTTGTGATGCAGCAGTTTAAAACAATTGGACTTTACCTCTAGAGAACCCTGTTGTGAATGTTTTTCAGAGGCAAGAGTAAAATTGTGTTTAAAGCATAATTTTAGCAGCAGTGGGACAGTTGGCACAGTTTACCAAAGCTGTTGAGAGACTCTGTAGACTTTAATTACCATCTCAGTCATGCAGAATTGGTTAATCTCTGCCAAAGATGAGAGTGCGTGTGAGAAAGCTAGATCATGCTTCCTATCTTATTCCTCCTTTTTCGACAGGTGGATAAAGGATGCTTTTTAATATCTCCTCTGATACTGACACATATTTGTAAAATTTGCATAGGATTGTAAAATATTTTTTTCAAAATTAACAACACGTATTTTTTGTTTGTTTGTTTGTTTCAAAAATCCTATGTAACACAGTGTGAATCCATATTAAGGTTCTGACTTGGAGGAAACCAAATAAAAAATCAGTGCATTTCCCATCACCGGTTGGTTTAAGGCTTTGTTTGATTCTCAGACATGCAAGGCTTGAATCTTTAGAACCAACTATCCTATATTATTATGTGCATATGCTCTTTTTATATTAATTTAATACACGGAGCAGGTTAGAAATGTGTGTTTTATAGCACAGGATGGGGGCTTGGGATAGGAAAAAGAAAAAGAAAATTGAGAACAGTGGGATCATTTTTAGAAGAGAAAATGATATATAAAACAAAACTTGTCTAATTACACAATCTTCCACTTATTTCTGTAGACTTCAAATTCTCAATCTGAGTGCATAGGGATGTTTATTCCTGTTATGGTCTGTCTTAAAAATCTAAATCTAAAAGTTGTATGCAGTATTGTAGTAGCCATGTGGGTCCCAGGATATTAGAGAAACAAGGTGGGTGAGGTAATATCTTTTATTGGACCAACTTCTGTTGAGAGAGACAAGCTTTTGAGCTTACACGGAGCTCTTCTTCAGGTCACCTGTAAGCTCAAAAGTTTGTCTCTCTCTCCAACAGAAGTTGGTATAATACAAGATTATTATCTCACCCACCTTGTCTAAGTCTAAAATGTCTGGCTTAAAAAGACTTGGTAATTTTTTTTCCTTTTTAGAGATTATATTCTCCTAAAACATTGGAATATGGACTTTCTGCACCTGTGAAAGGGAAACACTGACCCTGAACCATCCCATTATGAGGTCTAGTCTACACCTAAAATTTAGGTAAATTTAGCTGTGTTGCTCAGAGGTGTGAAAAATTCATCCCCCGCAGAGAGACATAGTTAGGCTGACTTAAGCCCTAGTATAGACATTGCCAGCTACTGCCTTTTGTGGAGGTGCCTTTATTACAGCAATGGAAAAACCCCTTCCGCAAAGCTTATAGCATAGGCGTATCCTGAGAAACTATCAAGTTACTGCCCTTCTTTATAACTACTATTTTTCAGATAGATAAGCAGACAAGTAACACCCAGGGCTCACTTTCCAAAGGAAGCTTATATCCCTCCATCATCCATCTGATCTCCATAGACCCATTAAATGATTTCTCTCAACCCTAGTAGTTTTGTCACATTGGGCAACGTGTTCAGAAGGCCACTACCACAAATTTGGTAGTAACTCAGTACTCAAGGGTGGAAGAGAACACACGTGTGTGTACACAGGAATCTGTAAATTCAAGCTCATAGTGGATTTAAGAGGGAGGTGATGGGTTAATGTAAATATTAAGAAAACTAATGTGTGGCTTTTAATCCATAACTTGGTGTGTGTAGAGAAAGAAAATTAAGTAGTTTGGTTGCAGTTGTTTTGTAAACTGCATGCTGAATAGAGTATATTCCTTGAGACTCTCACACATTTGGATATGCCATCTGTGCTTTCTACAGAACATTTGCCTGCTTGAGATTCTTGATTCATAAATGAAAATTACACAGGACAGTCACACCCCAAAAAGAAAAATCTGTGTTTCACATATGTGTATTCTCTCTTGTTTTCACCTAGAATCAGCAAAGACACAAGGTTAAAGTGTACCCTAGAGCTTGCTTTATTTTCTTTGGCAAGCAAATACATATTGAGTGTAGAAACATTCCCTTGGTAAATTTCTAGTGCAGCTCTAGTGTATATATATTCATGGTCATGACTTTCATTGTGTAATCATTTTAATTAAGTTTGACTATAAAAGTTAGTCTTGCATGAGGGATGAATGCGCTGGAGAGACAATGATAGATTGATGGCAACCCAGCCAAGTATCCCATGTTCTGCTGTTAATTTCTAGCTGAGTGGAAGTTCATGTGCAGATAACAGTTGAGCTTGAGTGATGGTGCACTGATTACTAGCTCAGAGCTATGCACAGACGAAGTGTATTGGGTGGTAAAAGGAGGTAGAATATGATGTAAACATCCAAAAGTGTTTTTGTAATATTTCTTGGCTTTCTTGCTTGAATTAATAGCATCATTACTGAAATAATAAACGTTAATGAATATCTGCATCATTTTTGTAACTGCTAGTTTAGTACAGCAATTAGTGTAATTAGTATACAGCATAGTTTGGTGGCATGATAAATCATGCCGAAGAGCATGTTGACTCTTCACCACTATGATATATTATCTAATTTACTCATTTAAAAAACGATAAAGGGGAGACAGGGGGAAGTTAGCAACAACAGCTGTGGTGGCCTTTTGGTCACTCTTCCTGAATTTGCCTTCTGTATTCTTAAATGCTTTGAATTGTTAGCACTGTTAATTAACATTTTATTTTTAATGTTGGTAAATCTTAATCACTGATTAAAACCTACAGAGAAGAGAGCAGAAGAGAAATGAAAATGTGTGGCATTTCACCTTAGGGTATTTCTTGCAAGGGATGTCACTTTTTCCAGTGATGAGTTTGTACTTGTTGGGTATCTCTGGTGCTTTGACATTTCTAAGTGTATCACTTAACAAGTCAATGTGAATGTGGGAAACGTTAACAGGGTTATCTCAATTATATTCTGTGTCTTCTAGAGCCTATGAGAACACCAAAAACGCTGAAGATTGCTGAGATCCAGGCCAGACACATTGCAGTGGATTGGGAGTCTCTGGGTTACAATATTACTCGATGTCACACTTTCAATGTAACTATTTGCTACCACTACTTCCGTGGTCACAATGAGAACAAAGCGGACTGCTTGGATATGGACCCCAAAGCACCCCAGCATGTGGTGGATCACCTGCCTCCTTACACAAATGTCAGCCTCAAAATGATCCTAACTAATCCTGAAGGGAGAAAGGAGAGTGAGGAGACCATTATTCAAACAGATGAAGATGGTATGCACAAATGCTATTTTAGAAATTATATTTAATCTAAAGGAGCGGGAGGGAATGGTTTGGTGAGTTAAAATATGTCTTCTGATGAACAAAGGTCACAGTCTGTTACAGGGGTGGCCAATCTTACTGGTCTTCTAAGACACATACAGCAATCTTCAGAAGACCGAGCACTGGGGCACACCTGCCAGGGGCCAGAGCTTGGGGCTTCAGCTGTGCAGGAGGCGCCTGACAGGACTCCAGGCTTCAGTCCCTCTTCTGCTGAAACCCTGAGCCCCAGAATGAGAAGCCCACAGGGCTGAAGCCCTGTGACCCCACTCCCCGCTGGGCAGAAGCTCCTACCCCACCACCTCGCTGCAAGGCAGAGTTCCCAAGCTCCCCTGCCCCCACCCAGTCTGGTAGATGGAAAATGGTGGGGGCAGTATGGGGGGTTCTGCGAGCCTCACTTTAACACTAAAAGAGCCGCATGTGGCTTGCGAGCCACACTTTGGCCACTGCTGGTCTATTAATTAGTTATAAGAAGGTTAAATTGCCCCCAAAATTATGGCTTTTCAAATATTTTAGTAGTTATTCTGAAAAACTAACTGAAACGGACCAACATTTAGCCCATGCCACCGTGCATAACTTTTATGTACGATAAAAATGTTTCCTTAATTATGAAATATATTCATATTGGACACAAGGTGTTAGTTTTTGTGGTATTAGTTAAGGACTTTTTTTTTTTTTTAGAATATTCAATGGAGGAAACTTATTCTGTACATTTATATTTAAATATTCAGTTCAGCATTGCAATATTTTACCTGAAATTCAGGATAGCTTCAACAGAATATGTTACATGTTATATAGCGCACACGTTATCTATTAGCTGACTTTTTAAAAAAAGAGAACATGTAATTTTTTGAGACCTCCTTCTTAAAGTTCCTGGTTTAAGTCCCCTAGTAAGACAGCCTTACTTACATGAGGAGAAACAAAGGACAGATTCAGATGTTTATCAAGCTATTCAGTGATTGTCTGTTATGAATCTTAATATGGAACTAAAACAGCATGAACTATAGTTCCTTAATTAGATGAAAACTATTGTATGGAAATAGAGCTGGCTTAGTTTCCATAACTTTAGCTGATTAACTGCCAATTCAAGACACTAGAAAAGACATACAAACTTTGAATAATGTATATAATTCTGTACACATAATAGAGAAAGAAACAGTTTATCGTGTGTGTGTGTGTGTGTGTACATGTAAGGTCATAGATCAGAGCTGTCAATTAATCGCAGTTAGTTCATGCGACTAACTCAAAAAACTTAATCGTGATTAAATAAATTAATCGTGATTAATTGCAGTTTTAATCACACTGTTAAACAATAGAATGCCAACTGAAATGTATTAAATATTTTGGATGTTTTTCTACATTTTCATATATATTGTATTCTGTGTTGTAATTGAAATCAAAGTGTATATTGTTTTGATTACAAATATTTGCACTGTAAAAATGATAAAAGAAATAGTATTTTTCAATTCACCTCATACAAGAACTGTAGTGCAATCTCTTTGTCATGAAAGTGCAACTTACAAATGTAGATTTTTTTTGTTACATAACCGCACTCAAAAACAAAACAATGTAAAACTTTAGAGCCTACAAGTCCACTCAGTCTTACTTCTTGTTCACCCAGTCTCTAAGACAAACAAGTTTATTTACGTTTACAGGAGATAATGCTTCCCTCTTCTTATTTACAATGTCACCAGAAAGTGAGAACAGGTATTTGCCTGGCAGTTTTGTAGCTGGCATTGCAAGGTATTTACGTACCAGACATGCTAAACATTCATATGCCCGTTCATGCTTCAGCTACCATACCAGAGGACATGCTTCCAAGCTGATGACGCTCATTAAATAAATAATGCATTAATTAAATTTGTGACTGAACTCCTTGGGGGAGAATTGTATGTCCCCTGCTGTGTTTTACCTGCATTCTGCCATAAATTTCATGTTGTAGCAGACTTGGATGATGATCCAGCACATGTTTTTATTTTAAGAACACTTTCACTGCAGATTTCGCAAAATGCAAACAAGGTACCAATATGGGTTTCTAAATATAGATATACCAGTTGACCAAGGTTTAAGAATCTGAAGTGCCTTCCAAAATCTGAGAGGGACGAGGTGTGGCGCATGCTTTCAGAATTCTTAAAAGAGCACATTCCGATGCGGAAACTGCAGAACCTGAACCACCAAAACAGAGCTTCTGCTGGTGGCATCTGACTCAGATAATGAAAATGAACATGCATCAGGTCCGCACTGGTTTGGATTGTTATCGAGCAGAAGCAGTCATCAGCATGGACGTATATCCCCTGGAATGGTGGTTGAAGCATGAGGGACATATGAATCTTTTGCACATCTGGCACTTAAATATGTTGCGACACCGGCTACAACAGTGCGATGAGAACGCCTGTTCTCACTTTCAGGTGACACTGTAAACAAGAAGCAGGCAGCGTTATCTCCTGCAAATGTAAATAAACCTGTTTGTCTAAGTAGGACTTAATGGACTTGCAGGCTCTAAAATTTTACATTGTTTTATTTTTGAATGCAGATTTTTGTACATAATTCTACATTTGTAAGTTCAACTTTCATGATAAAGAGATTGCACTAAAATACTTGTATTTTTCAGTTCACCTAATACTATTTTTTTTGTTTTTTACAGTGAAAATGCTTGTAAATCAAAAATAAATATAAAGTGAGCACAGTACACTTTGTATTCTGTGTTGTAATTGAAATCAATATATTTGAAAATGTAGAAAACATCCACAAATATTTCAATAAATGGTGTTCTATTATTGTTTAACAGTGCGATTAATCTCTTGATTAATTTTTTTAATCGCTTGACAACCCTAACATAGATACATAACAGAGAAAACTGAAACAAGTGCATTGTGTTTGTATATGTGTACAAGCAGTGAAGTGAGTTGTGTAAATGCTGACTGCAATCAAAACTGGGATGTGGTGGAGCACTTATGCGTTTTTAGCATGTATTCAGTTTTTCCAACAAACAGGAAAAATGATGTTTCAGACAGTGCAATAATGAAGAGAGGGTTGCAGTATTTCACAGTATAACTAGAGAATACAAGGAGTTTTGGAGAGCCACAGAGATTGATATACAGGAATTTTTTGAGGCATACAGAATTTTAATATTTTATGCAGATCAAATGTAGTGTTAAGTTTTTTGTAGGTGGTGAGAAATATAAACTGGAGGGAACTATTGATATGTTTAGGTTTTAGTATAGGGATTTATGGTTGCTGTATTGCATGAGAATCAATAAAGCAATGATGCTATGCCCACGTGAATTGAGCGTCATTCCCTGTTGCTGAGTAGGTGCCTCTTCAAGATATACTTTTATCCTCTTCTCATACCCTTTAGCCAGTTAGATTTGCAGAATTTGGCCAAAAGAACTACAACATGTACAAACCTCACCTTGCATTTAACTTTTGGATTATTGTTGGGAATATGGAGTATGAAGGCTTTGAGATCAAAGAAGATACTGAATCTTGTCACTCTGGTCAAATGATACTGGTGCTTGCCAAAACACTTGAATTTCTGAATCTTCCCACCTGTAGATCGGTGACCTTGTTTACATTGGAGTTAGTGTTAACGTGAGTTCCCCTCTCCTTTACAGGGTGTAATATATCTTAATTGAAACCAGTTATAAAGTTATTCGAGCTTTATGTTAATGAAGTCAGAAACTGCAACAGCACAGTTTTTCCAATTTCTCTTCCTCCCAGTCTAACCCTGTACCTTGAGTCCAAAGTTGACAGTTCTTTGTATCAGATTTAGGAAGTCTTTTAAAGTCATGTGGATGTGCGGCAGGGTGGACTAGGTCCAGACGCCCTCTGCTGGAGACCTCACTGCCCTGCCTCACCCTTCCCCAGAATAAGAGCAGAGAGAAGTCCTCGAGGCTGCCTAGAGTGGCTGCAGAAGAACAACCAATCAGAGGGGCTGATGGAGCAGCCAATCTGGGGCCAGAAGGGCCCTATATAAGACAACAGAAGAGCAGAGAAGTCAGTTGCTGTGTGGAGCTTGAGGAGTGAACACCAGGTACCACTGATAGATCACTGTGGAGAGCTCACTGCAAACCGGACTGAAGCCCCAGGGAAGGCTGCTGAAGAGCAGCAGGACCAGTGGAAGGTCAGTGCAGGCAGGCTAAAGCCCCCGGGGACTGAGCACAGAACCTGGCCAGGCCAGCAAGGTTACCGAGAAGTGCCCCACTGGTCTGATTGAAGATGAGCCCAGGGAGGCCTGCTGAAACACCACCATCTGCGGGTACTGACATGGGCCTGGGCTGGTTGGTTGAAGAAGGCAGTGCCTCTGGAAGAAGCCTTAGAGCCATGGCCCCATACCAGGACCATGATAAGAACTTGGACTGTAAACCCCGGAAGGGGGGATAGTATGGCTCGGCCAGAGGGCTGAAGACCTGATGAGAGAACCATCGGGCAGAGGGGCACTACCCTGTGAAAAGAACTGTTTGCAGGCATTATCAGCCAGAGAAAAGGGGCACTTGCGAGAGGCGGGTGCTGACTCCATTACAGGATGTTGTTTGCATCAATGGTCAAATTGAAAAGGATACTTCTACAGTGCCATGCCCATCTTCTCTGTTCTCCCATTGTTTACCTCAGAAAGTACCTTGGAACTGTGTACTGGTAGTAATTGTGTGGTGGGAGTTTGTTCTGTGATTCCCTGAGTGACCATTTTAAGTTTTTTCTCTCAAATCTTTTTCATTTTAATAAATTCCTCAGTTTTTCCATTTTTAGAATTTGTATTGGAAAATTAGGTGGAATTTCTCTGTGGAGCTGGATTAATTTCCAGATCATATTGTTTTGTAATCTCCTATACCAGAAAGAGAGAGTTTGTCAAATCCTAATCTATGTATTTACTATAGTAAATACTGTGAAAATTGCAAATACTGATGTTGGGTAACAGAGATGGGTTTTTTCTTAAATATACTCTTCTGAAACTTTAC